CCCCCCCGGTTGCTTGAAGTTATTATATTACAACTTCTACGTCTCAACCCTAATGTGTCTCCGATACTAGATGTGAGGACTTGTATAATTTACTAGCATAAACTAGATCTTCCCTTTGTAGTTCTATTGAAGAGCCACTTAGTTACTTAATGTCCAACCCCAGTGCCTTTGGTGATGACAAAGGTGTTATGTCCAAATGAAGGACATGGGTAAATGATAACGACAACAATTACAATAACACGAAGAGCCAACTTAACAATAACCTAAACCATATCATCATCATCTCTATCAAGTATAGAAGATCCTGATGTTTTGACCATGCACCAGACAAACTCGTAGAGGCTTGTAGATTTTTTTTTTTGTTGATGAGATCATAGGGGCTTGTAGATTTTTTTTATAAGATTGTAGGGGCTTGAAGATTGTGTTGGTTCGGGACACTTCACATCGGGAAATTATGTCATTAAAAGTTGCCCTTCGTGTTTGCTAGTTCAAAATTGCCTCTAGATCTCTTGCATCAAAATGTGAATCTATTGCATTACTTTGAGTGTCAAAACATTCACCTGCATTTTCTAACTCTTCTTTTGGACACCAAAAACAAAATTGCGTATATGTTACTTTTATTCAATTTCTAGGTCTGCGTTCTCCGTAAGTTGGATGCAATTGTTGAGTAATCTGAATGTGTAATAGTGAGGTTGATATTATACCTCCTTACAGATCTAAGGGCGAGACTCATGTTTTACTTCACTTATCACAATGCCGTTAAATTGCCATATGAGGTAGTTTTCTTTGTTAACTGAAAGGATACTTTACTGAGGCAGACGGAATTACTAGTTCTACGTTCAGACATAAATTCAAATATAAAATGCAGAAATCAGATGGTAAAAGCTTAAGAGCTGGCAACAGAATTACTTGGAAGTTCTTAAAGACAAAAGAATGTTGAGCGTAACAAATAATTTCAATGGCTTTTCTTCCTCTAACATAGCTGCCCGGGGGCGAATCTAGCCTTATGGTACCGGATTCATTTTGATACTGAACATAATTTATGTGTAAGAATTCATTAATATTGCAATAAATAGTAGATATGAACCCATAACATTAAATATAATTGGTTGAATGCTAAAAAACTTAGAGATTGAACTCATAGAGTTTAAATCTTGGATCCGCTCTCTCAGTAACACAATCAGCGGAACAATGGTGCAAGCAAGTCCATGTGAAAAGAATAGGCATCCTATCATTGACCAGATCTACTCAAGACTAGAGATGTGTGTAAAGCTAAATAATCCAGAATGGCTAATTAAAAGATAAAGCTACCCTATAAACGAGTCTAACAAAGCACTCAGTGATCCTTCTTGTCAATTGACTCAGCAGATAAATCACTCTGTGTCAACTCAGCTTGAGAGGTCTCTGGAAACTCAACGCCAGCATTCTTGGCCGTTAAGTTTTTGTATATGGTAAGAGCTTGAGCCACCATGCTGGCAGGATTAGAAGCATTTGTAGGAAGTAACAGTGTTGTACCCTTTAAAATTGAAAAGAGAAGAACAGAAAATAAAAAAGGATTAGAAAATGCAGTAACGTATGATGATTTGCTAAATTAGAAGGTTTCTGTCATGCTTCACCTCCTTTGCAATGTTACTGAAGGCTTGGATGTACTGCTCTGCAATCCTCAAGCTTGCTGCCTACAAAACCCGATAATAAAAGACGATGCAGATTAGCATTGATGTAATGTAATATTACAATCCAAAGTTAATGAATGAATATAATCAAGCATATTTTTATCCAAAATCTTGTTACATGTCGTGGAAAAAGAGTTAGACATAATAATCTCACCTCTGTACCTCCATGCTCTTTAAGGGTTCGCGACACCAAGGCTATTCCTTTCGCTGTAGCTTGTGCTCTAGAGAGGATGGCTTCAGCTTCACCTGATTCATCAGAGAGGTTTGATGATCAGTAAAACAGGTTTGATGATCTCAGAAACAAATCTGGCTTCACAAACTTGTTGCTGAATGTAAGGGGAAAAGGTAAATGTCCAAAGTTTACTAACCTTGTGCTCTGTTGACCTGGTCCATCCTTGCAGCTTCAGAGGCAAGGATCACAGAACTCTTCCTTCCATCGGCGATATTTATATTCGCCTGCCTCTCACCTGTTGTATGTGACAGACATAAATTTGACACAGAATTTACAGTCACAGGCTAAACATGAAGTTAGGACAGAATAAATGCAGTAAATTTGGTGTACTGTTCAGTATATGCTTTTACTCGGAAATGTAGGTAAGTGTAACCAATGTGATATAGAAAAGCATGCTCCTCCTTATTGCCTGCACAATCTACCTCAAATCAGGGACTATTACCTTCAGACTCCAGAACTTGAGCTCTTTTTTTACGTTCTGCTTCTGCCTGCATCTCCATGGCTGCCCTAACCCCAGGTGGAGGAGATATATCCCCTGAAGAGGAAATATTAATACATATTCAGCAATGAAGAACAGATAAAATGCTTTAGTAATGATGAAGAAATCAGCAGAGCAGAACAGGCTAAGCTCCTATGTACTTATTTCATAACGAAGACATTTCAAGCCCCAGTCTTTTGCAGCATCATTAATGGCCATCTGAAAGAAACACAATGGGACGAGGCTATAAAATCTTAAAGTGAAAGAACAAATAGCCAAACGGTATTGGTGAAGGAGAAACTGAATGGAACGAGGCTATAGTTTTCTGATCGATAAAAACTTACCACAATCTTGTCATTCAATGTGTCCCTTTCCTCAAAGGTCTTGTCGAGGGTGATCTTACCAAGCTCACTTCGCATAGTTGTCTGTGCTATTTGAATTACCGCATACAATGGATTCTCAACTCCATATGACGCCAATTTGGGGTCCACTGTCTATAATTGCATGCGTTAGCTTTGTGTATTAGTAATATCATGTTCAATGACGGAACAAAAATTTCACTAAGTGGTGTCAAAATATATAAAAGTAAATGTTGACATACAAGTTGTCTAGCACATGTATACACATGTACTACATCATAGCTAGCACATGTATATGAGTTGTATAGTATGTGTAATACAAGTTGTGTAGCACATGTATACACATGTACTACATCATAGCTAGCAAATGTATATGAGTTGTATAGTAGGTGTAATTAGATGTATGACAACTAATAGATTAAGTGANTAATAGATTAGGTGAATTAGTATTATAAATAGGCCTTGTAATCTTCTCTTCTAGATATGAAATATAGAACTTCTTTGGTTTCTAACATGGTATCAGAGCATTGAAGTTTTTTCATCAGTTTGTTGTTGGGAATTTTTTTTTCCCCGTTCGAATTATTTTTGTTCAGAACAGTCTTTCGCTGCTTTGATTCTATTTCACTATTTCCGGCCATTTTTTGCCCCGGTCGCTTCTTTACAGATTTTTCTACTCACTATTCCGACCAAAGTGGTACTGTCAGAATTTTTTTTTCCTGACAACTTTCATTTTCCAAGATCACTGTTCCGGCACTGTTTACTATTCTGTTCACTGTTCAAATATTACTATTCACTGTTCATTGTACTATTCAAATATCATTGTTCACTGCACTGTTCAAATTTCACTGCATTGTTCTTGACTATTTGATTCTGCTATTATTCGAGTGCAAGATGACTGAAACGAAATCTACCGTTGATGTCATTCCGGTTATGTCCAAAATTACGGAGAATAAGTTCATGGGTTCCAATTACATGGATTGGAGTAAGACGATCCGTCTCTATTTGCGGAGCATCGACAAAGAGAACCACTTGGTTGATGATCCACCCAAGGATGAGACTAAATCAGTCTGGTTAAAGGAGGATGCAAAATTGTTTCTCCAAATCAAGAATTCGATGCACAGTGAGGTAAATGATCTAGTTTCTCATTGTGATTATGTGAAGGATCTAATGGATTATTTAGATTTTTTGTACTCTGGCAAAGGAAACTTGTCTCGCATGTATGATGTGTGCCAGGCATTTTACCATCCATCCATGCAAGATCGCTCTCTCACCACTTACTTCTCAGAGTTTAAGAAGGTGTATGATGAGCTTAATGTTATATTGCCGTTTAGTCCAGATGTGAAGGTATAACAGGCTCAACATGAACAACTGGCGGTCATGAGTTTCCTTTCTGGTCTTTCTCCCGAATTTGAAGGGGCCAAATCGCAGATTTTATCTGGGACTGCTATCTTTTCCTTGAAAGAGGCCTTTACAAGAGTGTTGCGTACTGAAAAGTCTCATCCAGGTCCGACAACCACGATCGATAGTGGTGCTCTGCTTAGCCGCGTCCAAAAGAATAGGAGTCATAGTAATCACAATCGGAGTAGCGATAGTCGAGACCTAAAGCAAGGGGAAGTTGAATGTTTTTATTGTCATGAGCTCGGTCATACCATACGTTATTGTGTGAAGCTTCAGAATAAGAACAAAAGATCTCAGTATGCCAACATCGCCACTTCCGAGACTATTTCACCATCTCAGTCATCATCTCCTCCTATCAATACTATCCCCGAGTCAGGTAAAACCACTAAGTGTCTCCTCTCTTCGTCATCCAAATGGGTCATTGATTCTGGTGCCACAGATCATATGACAGGTAACTCTAAACTCTTTTCCACTTTTCAGTCACATACCCAATGTTCCACAGTTACTTTAGCCGATGGGTCTACCTCATATGTTTTAGGGTCTGGCACTGTTAACCCAACATCTTCTCTTTCCCTTAGTTCCGTCTTAAATTTGCCTGATTTTTCTTTCAATCTAATATCTGTCAGTAAACTTACTCGTACTCTAAATTGTTGTGTCTCATTTTTTCCCAATTATTGTCTTTTTCAGGATCTTACGACGAAGCAGATTATTGGTAAAGGTTCTGAGTCTGGGGGTCTCTATGTTCTTGAATCACAGGTGCCGAAATCCATTTCTTGTTCAACTGTGTTGTCTCCCTTTGATGTACACTGTCGATTGGGTCATCCATCCTTGTCTAGTTTGAAGAAGTTATATCCTCAGTTTCAGAGTATTTCCTCTTTAGATTGTGAGTCATGTCAGTTTGCTAAACACCATCGCCTTCCTAAAGTTTCTAGAGTCAATAAACGGGTCGACTTACCTTTTGAGTTAGTTCACACCGATGTTTGGGGTCCATGTCCTATTATCTCTAAAACTGGTTTTAGATATTTTGTTACCTTTGTGGATGATCATTCTCGTGTTACTTGGTTATATTTAATGAAAAATCGTTCGGAGTTGTTTTCAATTTTTTGTGCTTTTTGTGCTGAAATAAAAACTCATTTTAATGATTCCGTTCGTAATTTAAGGAGTGACAATGCAAAAGAATATTTTTCGGATTTGATTAAAGATTATATGGCTACAAATGGTATTCTACATCAATCTTCTTGTGTTGACACCCCTTCTC